AAAAGTGATTCACCCTCTCCAGCAGCCATTGATTTCCTGTAGCTCTCATCTAGGTGTGAGGCCTAACCATGTTGGCATATGAAATTGTGTAGTCATTATGAGACTTTGCTTAGGCAGTTATATTGTTGAGATTTCATGAGTGTCGTATTGTCATTTGTGTTCAGAAAACACTGCATCCCACCAGAATTTCTGGAACTCTTGCTACTACAGCCTTTCTGCCCTATCTTCCACCATGTTCCCTCAGTGTTAGATGTAGGGATTCCATTGTGTATGTACAAATTGGGCCTGGTCATTCCACCATCACTTATTATTGTCATTTTAACCATCTGGTTTTCTGGGGTGGAAGCCAGGACATCATAACACAGATTCTGCATGCTTCCACTGTTACAAAGCTTCCAGAGTATTCACATTTGCAGAGAAAAAGGAAATGCAGGTTGGCAGGGTCTGAGGCAAGAGGGGCAGGAACTGCTGTTTGTGGGTCTAGAGTCCCAGCCATGCAAGAGAGAAGGCTCCTAGAGAACTTCTCTACAGTAAGTGTGATTTTAAATGCTGTAACGTGTATTTGAAATTTGGTTAGGGGGTAGGTTTCATGTTACATGTAAAAGGTCATATTTACTTCTTGGTTTCTTATATAATTTTATTCGAAGCATTCTTTATGTTGGAAAAGAACAAACATATTTGTATGTTTCTTACTATTGCCGATATTCTAAACCAGGTTGAATGAAATTTTAAATTTGCTTTTAGCTTTACCTTTACCTACATTTCCTCTTAACAAACATATGAATCTATATCTTTCTTGGTTAATAATTTAATTTTTCTTCTTTTTCTTATTAAATTTACCCATGCTATTTCTTCCTGGAATGGACCTCATTAACATAAGATTTTGTAGCTTCTCTTTTACAATGCTTATATTATTAAATCATGTTTGTATAATTTTTTGTTTTGTTTTGCTTTTGAGACAGTCTCTTGTTTATTATAATGTGGCCTTGAATTCATGACTTAGCTGGGAATTTCTGATCCTCCTGCCTCTATCTCCCAGGGTCTGAGATTTTTGGTGTGTGACACCATGACTGGTTTTATGCAGTGCTGGGGACTGAAGCAAGAGCTTTGTGTATACTAGGCAAACACTCTATTATCTGAGCCCCATTTTCAGCCTGTTGTATGATTTTTTTGTTTGTTTGTCTGATTTTAAATATCACATAATATCTTGTATCTAGTTCATGGAACAAACATTTGTCTGGGATTGAATTTAAGTGCTCATGTATTCTAAGGTTTGAGTAGAAAATTGTTTCCGTGCATTTAACTTCTTGAGTTCACAGCCGACTTGAACCAATTCTTTACTGAAGTACGTATTCAAAGACAGGAACAACAAGAATACTAAAGTGTTAAAACTGTTACTAGAAATATTGTTAAAACTGTTACTAGAAATATTATCACTGAACCGCAAGAAAGAAATCACAGAGACATAGAAGTCCAGTGACAGAATCCACGTGCACCGTTGCTAGGGATGACCCTTCTTTTACTCTAATATGCCTCCACATTAGAAGAGAAAAGAATGGCTTCGGTGAGACAAGTGCAATGTAGCACGTTTAGTGGCAGAATGGAGAGGAACAGCCCTGTTCTATCACAAGGAAACAAATGTGACAAAAGATAAGAAAATTCAATGGGAAGAAGTAGGAAGAAACAAAATAGTCCAAGCAATAGACTAGCACATAAGTAAACATACTTATTAGGAGGAAGCAGGCACAGCTCTTGAGAGGTGATTAATCAAATTAGAGGCCATCTAGATTTCCAAATTTGAAGTGTAAATATAAAACAGAAGCAACATTATGGATAGCTTTATGCTCTCTTAATGTCATTGCCCTTCTCTTCAGTGTTAACCAGCATTATGAACACTACTTTTAAGACTACACCTTGGACAAAAGTGTTACCCAAAATAAAGTAAATCCCAGAAACAATTTCCCTTGAACATTCACACTATGACACACAGCACGTAAACAAGCTGGAGAGGTTTCCTCCATTAAAAATGTTTGCTCTCAACCCACATTCAGCCAAGTGTACACAAGACACCTGTTGCCTTCTCCATGCTCAAATATCCCCTCCTACATCATCTTAGACCCTGCTCCAGAAATCACCTGCTGTAGAAATTTCCCCTTCTCTTTGAGATGTTGTTTTCATCACCTTGCATGAAGTGCATCAGTGTAAATGAAACAAAATGCCTTCATAGTCTAGCCTTCCTTGTACTTACTTATTTATTCATGCATTTGTGTCAGATCTTTACTTATAAGAAGATCACCTTTACATAAGTCACCCACTGACTGCTGTGCTTCAAATGACTATGTCCATGTTCGATCCTTTCTGTCTATTCCCGGCTCTCCATGTCTTAATTTGGAATTCACAGTCCCTTGATTTCCAAGGTATTATTCTCTACTTACTTGTTTTGTTTTGTTTCACTTGTTTGGTTTTTTGTTTGTTTGTTTGTTTTGTTTTGTCCCACGATATATCTCTGGATTTATTTTCCGCTGGCCCAGAATTCCTTGAAGACTCATGATTGTCTCCTCTGCTTTTTACTACTTTCTGTTACTTTTATTTTTCTTAATTTTAACCAAAACCTGTATCCTGTTTTAGTGACTCTCCAAGTATACTGTGAGATTGTGTATCTCTCATTTATATTATGATATACGTTCAATGGCACTGCCACTTCTGAATATGCCATTCTTAACTAGAAGAAACCATAATTCCCACGGAACACAAGAGGTACATAGGTCATTAGTGGCATATCCCAGGTACCATATCCCAGGGAGTGTGGTCCTGCAGAAATGAATCCTAACCAAGACAAGGCTCCTGAGTGTGTAGAAGCAATGAAATCACTTACACTATGAAAGGTGTGAGGTAGCTGGTCTAGCTCTTAGTGAACATCTCGATTATCAATGTGATTAATAATTGACTTTGATAACTTTATTTCATTGAATATTCTCTCAATTCTTGCACTAGAAATATATACAAAGTCCAATTAGTTCTCTTTTAATTAATAGTATATATTATATTATATTAATAATACGATACATAATATTGCAGCCTAATACTACTTGCATGGTATTTAAGGAGAAATACATTGGGGGCTGTTTGTTTTCCAGTGCTAGGAATCAAACCTGGAGTTCCTTGAACTCTTAGAGGAGTGCCTTATCATGAAGCTACATTCCTGGCCTCAAAATGGAGGTTGTTATCTCAGGTGTGCTCATTACTATTCTTTCTAAGCTTGTTTTTCCTAAAGGAAAAATAAATAAATATTTTAAAGATTTATTTTAATTTGTATTGTATGTGAATGGGTGTTTTGCCTGCAAGTATGCCTGTGTACCATGTATGTGTAGTGTTTTCAGAGGCCAGGATAAGGAATCAGATTCTCCTGGAAATGAAGCTAGAGGTGATTTTGAGCTACTGTGTGGGTGCTAGAGTCTAACCCAGGTCCTCCAGATGTGGATGATGGTAACCACCAGGCCATGTCTCCAGTCCCCACAGACATAATTTTAACTCACATTTCTATACCACCTCTGCTACAGAATATACAAAAAAATGGCTATAGTATACAATAGCAACTTACCTTAAGAGTAAACCGACATCTACGCTGTGTATCCTGGGAGGTGTAACTGAATAGCCCTAAGGCTGTGACAGTGGGTTGGAAAGACCTTTATAAACTGAAGCTACTAACACATCAAAAGCTTAAATAGCCTAAAGTACTGAGACAGAGGTAAATAATGGAATAAGAAAGCTTGGACATAGCAATAAAGTTTGGAAATGCAAAGCTGTGTTTTAAATAATCTCAAAAAGCTACTAGTTCAAAGTCTATATAATGGCTTGTAGCCGTGTCAGCTTTTGGGGGCTAGAGAGATGGCTCAGAGGTTAAAAGCACTGACCACTCTTCCATAGGTCCTGAGCTCAATTCCCAGCAACCACATGGTGGCTCACAGCCATTTATAATGAAATCTGGTGCAGGCAGAACATTGTATACATAATAAATAAAATCTTTAAAAAGTCTATATATAATTCTCTTTTAAATAGCAAGGTCTTTTGTGTTTTTTTTGTTTACAATTTATATGTATATTTCCTACAAGATTATAGTCTCCTAAACTACCTCAAACTGAACTTCTAATGTGTCCACCACCATCACAAAACAGAATGATAAAAAAGCTTGTCTGTCCCTGTTAATTAATTCTTGGCATCAGGCCACAAAGTTGCAATTCAGTGCTTTATTTGTATAGTATTGGGTGAAATACTATACAATTTTTTTAAATGACAATCAATCATTTATTGGTTTATTTCATCTCTATTACTAACACATCTGTCATTCACCATTTAAATACCTGACTTCATTAGAAACCATTTGAACACTATTTTTCTTCCTCTTGCCATAAAAATACAGTAATTTGCTTAAAAAAACCAAAAACAACTATGAACAAGCATCCTAGATCTGCCTACTTTCCTAATGCTCTGAGACAGATGTTTACAGCAAGTCAGTAGGCTGAAGTCAGAAAGCCAGTCTTCTACTTGCAAGTGCTGCACTCTGGAATCTCTTCTCTTTGCCCTTCTTCATGACCTACCTACGGTATGTTCAGCTGAAACCACCAATTTTGAACTACTACACAGTGCTCATTTCTCTCTGCTCTGTTAAAGTAAACACAACTTACCTCTAACATATCCAGAAAAATACTTAGCCTCAAGGTTCCCAATAATTTGGAGTACTCAACTAGATCCACCCTGACACTTTTGACAGAAGTAATGCATTACTTAATGAGAGGTCTCCACAACCTGCTGGTAGAACCTACACATACACGACACTGATAGCCAGTCAGCTTTAACTAGGACAGAGTCCAGCAGGAAAGTGCATGATACACATCCATCATCTCTTAGGTTGCTGCTGTTTTCTCTTCTTTATTGAAAGGTTATACTGAGCCAGGCTTTACCCATGACAGGCCAGCAACATGAACACTTCTATTGCGCTGTTAGTCAGGCTTTTTCTGAGTCAGCATCTTCTCTTTGGCTTCCTCATGTACAGAAGGGTTCCATGGAGAAAAGCTAATTGCATAGGGATCTTCTATTTTCGGTTGGTCAAGCAAATGAGCAGTACACACTTTAACACTGTCCACCACTTTATTCTTAAAAAGCTGAAAGTCTTTTTCATACAGCACTGCAGCCTCTGGGTTCAGGGGGCTTGTTGTGTAGATCTCATAGAAGATTCTCCTTGCGTACATTAAGACCTGCCATATATGATTATGGCTCCTCCTCCACTTTGCAAATGCTCTCTTCACATCCAGTTCACCTGAGGTGGAATCAACTAGCGGATGAAAGATGGGAATGTCAAACAGCAAGCGAGGACAGTCGCCATCTGGATAGTTATCAGGAATATACACCGTAAACTTGAACACGCCATCCTGAAATAGCCCATGTCGTATGAATATTACGCCAAACCACACTAATGCAGAGCGATACGATGGTTGTACATAGACACCTGGTAGCTTCTGCTTCACTACCAATGTAAATTCTGCAAGAAGCAAATATTCCAGGTAGAAGGGTCTATAAGAAGCATGAGTGCCATTTGTTGACTGCGTTGCTCGGGTTAGAGATGTAGGCTTCGTTGTGGGCAGAGCGTTTTTGGGAATAGATGAGAGCTGCTTTTTTGGTTCAGTTTGCAGAGGCCTGTTTTTCACATCCTCTGCTAATGTCTTCTCTTCACCTTCAGCTTGTTTGTGCACAGAGCTTGCAGACATGCTCCACAAAGGGTTCATAATGTGTACTCCAAACAAAGAACTTACAGTGCTGTGGCATCAAACTCTTCTGTCCTCAGCATTCACACTGCCTGGACGCCTTCGTTGCGCCGCTCCGAAGCCCTACAGCATCTCTGGCAGTCAAACTTAAGCTTTCTATGAAACAGTAAGATGGATTTCCACAAAACATGTTATCCATTACCACTAAATAATGTTCTCCTAACACATGTTTCTTTAATTCAAAGAAGGAAGATGATAAAAACAACTAGCTACCCTAGTATCCCTTCTAAACAACGCGAAATTCTGCACACATAACCTTGCTTTTAGTCTGCTTTCTCTTTTCACTTGAGAAAAAAAACCGAAGCCCTTGATAAATCCAGGAAGAGCTAAACTCTGAGGACGCTTGTGCAGCAAGCACACTACTTTAAGGCACCAGGAAAGCAGAGCGCCATACGTACTTTACAGTCATCACACTGGAATGAACAAAATTTCTAATTGCAATTTGGCCTGATATATCTTACACCAGATTGAATCTTTCCCTAATGATCTCTGTATACAGACGCAGATACACATAATAAAATAATCACAAAGGAACATCTACTGTTTATACCCTTGATAATCAAGGAACACATGGTTCTTATATTGAATACTAATTCTGTTGTATACATCTGTGATAGCCTGTTCCATAATACAACTGGGTGGGCCCAGCCAATGATACACTAGACTGTAATCATGTTATCTGGATGTCTGCATTCACTGGGCCAGTGTTTTTCTTTTCCCACGAGAACCTTCTGTGCTCATAAAGTGCCAAATAACTCATCTCTCCTGACTGAAAAGCAAGTCATCCACAATGCAAGATTCAAGAAGATGGGAACATAAAGCTTGTGTCTCCTAGAAATAAACTCCCCTGCGCTTATGTGCTGGCTCCTGCTCTGTGGCTCTTTGGGCATCCTGTCTTTCATAAATTACTGTGATCTCCATAAATCTTTCTGAACCATCATGGCTGAACATCCTAAAACGGATAGTGTAACCTCAGTGTCCAAAAGGAGCGTCTCCCTAGCACAGTGTGTACAACCAGGTCCAACACAGTATATATACTCTCCTGCAATGGCTGGGCAAAACACACATTCCTTTCATGTTTCCAGGCTCTCCCCTACCTCAGGGGAAGTTTGCTCAAAGCTTTTCTTTGCTTTAAAGTTACCTCTGCTTCCAAACCCCTCCCATTTAAAGCCCATTCCTCCAGCATACAAAGCTCATTCCTATCCATTATTCACTTCTCTTACAGGGAAATCTATAATGCACAGGCATGAGTATTGCTTTATACATGTTTAAAAAGAACATTTTCCCCCTAAAATTAGGAAAACCTTAACCCCTTAAAACATCGTGCAAGGCAGGTGCTCCCAACAAGTTTGAGTATTTGTGAATCAAAAGAAATAGGATAAAGGGAGAAGCTTTGTTTTTTTCTCTAGGAATGAAATATTGATTTGTCTCACACAAGGCAACTGTCAGCTGTACAGGTTAGGAATAATTCTGAATATGGTTTAACTTCAGAAACAACATGTTTTTGACAGTGATAGAAATCTCATTAAAAATACAAATAAATCTGCTGAGCTAAATAATGATCAGAAAACTAAAATTGCCAAACTTTCATAGTTGTTAATATATAGATGAGAGTAAAATAATTATAGGTAAACAAGAAAAATGGTATTATGCTAATTTTACCATGAATTCAGAAGTTACTATTTCATAGATAAAACTTTTTTTGTAAAAATTTCTTACCAGCTATGTATTTTTACAGTTGATGTGAATAATAGTTAAAGTCTTTGATATAACCACGTGGCTTTTAAATTTGTAGAAACTAAAGTTACTCTATCAATGACAGCAAGAATGGTAGTTAATTAGAAGTTAATTGGAATTCTGTCTGTAAGAGTCAATTTCCAAGCAAGGAACAGATGAAAGACCTCAAAATGTTTGCCAGTAAATATTTTAGTGACTTCAAATGTCAACCTAGAAGGTAATACCCATAAGACATTGGGGTAAAATAAATTTTGTACAAAATGTAAAATGAAGTGTCAAACTTTTACCATGCATAGGCAGATGGTGACAGTGGTAGGCAGGGAAATGCAGTACCTGGATAGGTATTTGATGAAGCATGCCATGATTAGTACAGATGGAAACAGTATTAAATGGAAAGATCATAAGCTACCATCACACATGGGGTGCTATGGTGACATTTTCTTCTTTGAAAGTATATTTGTCACTCAGTGGGATAATAATTCTTATTATTTTAAAAATATTTTCATTCAATATACTCTGATAATATTATTTCCCCACTTTCAATTCCTCTGAGATGCTACTCATCTTCCTACCTACCAAACATCATTTTTCTCTGTCTCTTAAAAAAAAAAACAAAAACTCCAAACTAAAAACAGAAACCAAATACAAAGAAAATCAAAACAAACAAGTTAAAAACCAGTAAGACAAAAAATACCAAACCAAACAAAAAGTACACATACAAAAAACACAGAGCCTATTTTTTTTGTTGGTTAACTACTCTTGCACATGGCATTTGCTTTGAAGTATGGCTGATAAGCCCCGTGACACTCCATTGGAGAAAACGGACTTCCCCTTTTCCAATAGATACCTACTGAAAATAGCTTCTTGGTTAGGAATAAGAGGACTTTGTCTGGTTTGGACCTGCTCAGGTCTTGTGTATGCTATCATACTCTCTGTGCGTTCATATGTGCATATTGTTACCTGTTTTTCTGTGTCATAATGACATTGTTTCTGTCTAGTAACCCATCATCTCTGGCTCTTACAATCTTTTCACTTCCCTTTCTGCATATATCTCTTAATCCCAAGGAGAGATGTTTGACGAAGACATCCCATTTAAGACTGAATGCTCTAAAGTCTCATTCTTTGAATATTGTCCAGTTGTGGATCTCTGTGCTAATTCTTGTTGACTGTAAAAAGAACATCTGTGATGAGGGTTGAGTGTTGCACTGATGTATGGGTCTAGAAATATGTCAATAGCATTTATTTTATAGCTATGTTCTGTTAGCAGAATCATAGTAGTAGCTTTACTCTAGGACCTATGACCTAACCTATATCTTGGCCACGTTAGCAGTGTCAGGTATGGGTTCCATCTCCTGGAGTGGACCTTAAATCCAAACTAAATATAGTGAGTTACTCCCTTAACACTTGTGTCACTATTGTAACAGTATATCTTATAGGCAGGTTAAAGTGGGAAATTACCAATATGGAGTCAAGTAGAAATATAAGATTATTTAATAGGGAAAAGCCTTACTTACAGAGCGACCTAGCCAGCCGGTGTGGCAGCAGTCTGTACAGCAAGCTGAAAATTAAGACTGAAAGCTAAACCCAGTCATCTGAAACTCTACATCACCCTGACCATGCCCTCGAAGGCACACCCCTAAGCTGGCAGCTTCCCCTACAATTCCTCTTTTAGTCTAAAAGAGGATTAAAACATAACAGTGTAAAGTATCCAAAATTAACAATCATAAAGGTGAACTATAAGAAGATATAACAATCTGCTTATGTTAGATCCTAACTATCTATTTTAACAAAACACTAAAGTCATCTGAAAGAGGTGTCCAAGCCTGAACACCTCTTTCCAATCCCAACCATAAACAATAGGAAGCTATCCCTAACTAGGTATATATATTATCCTAAATGACAACAATGGGGAAAGGGGACATAGCATTCTCCAAGTTACTTCCTGCTGAAATGGGATGACGATAGCCTTGTGGGGTCCTGTAGGAAGAAAATGTTAGTATAGTGAAAGTCTTGAATGGATTGTATCCAGTCCATGTTAGATGGGAG